CTCTCTCTCTCTCTCCCTCTCTCTCTCTCTCTCTCTCACACACACACACACACACACTCTATCTCTCTCTCTCTCTCTCTCACACACACACACACACTCTCTCTCTCTCTCTCTCTCTCTCTCTCTCTTTCTTTCTCTCATTCTGCCTCCCACACACGAAACAGAAATATTGGGTGCACGGAGAGCAAAATACAACAAATAGAAAAACAAAAACAGAAAAACAACCCCCCCCCAGTTGTACGTTACCCCTAATACTTGTCCTAAAACGCGCACTGTTTCCATCAGAAAGTTCGAGGACTAAATATAGCTCTCTGCACGTGCAAGCGCTTCCGTCGTTTGGCGCGTCTGTTGTAAACATCGCGAGTGAGCGCATCACAGACACACGAGCAACAAGCAGACACACACTCAGTGATGATGACGGTATGACTCTCTACAGGTGCCAGTGAGAGCGATGGCTTTCAGATGACGCTGAAGAGAACTGAGAGGGAAAACGGAATGTGTCACAGTTCTCCCGTTATTTAGACAATTCTTTACAATATGCAGTTTTGACAATTTTACAGGAGAACCAAATTACTGAGTGTTGTTACCAAAAAAACTACCTCTTTGCAAACTTCCCAAAGCAATATTTTAAAGGACACAATTATGATTATAACTTTACTATCGCTGTTTTCTTGGTGACGTCATTCAGTTTTTTTGGCTTTCCCGTAGAACTGTAAAAACTGCATACTGGGTTTTTTTAAATGTCAGAATTGACGACCTGAGAACAAGACTGTGCCTTTGTTAATTTTTCCTGAACGTGGAAGAAAGTAAAAAAAACAACCCATGGACTTGGTCTATATTTGCTTTGGGTCACGCTGCAGTTTTTCTCTTTCTCTCGCTACACCGTTGACGGTCGAGTGTCATTTGCACTATCAATATATTATGCGGGAAAGTCTTCTCTATATAAATACTAAGAACTCAATTGTTGCCCATTGGGAACATACGCACTGTCTTGACTTTTCTGTTTTGACGTACCGGTTTTTTTTCTGGGAGTTTTCAAGGCCCTCAACCCATTTGGCTTGAAAATGTGAAATGGTGTGGGTTTAAATATAAAAAAAAACGAGTATGATAGTAATTTAACGCCCATCTCCAAAAGGACCGTTGAGTCAAATAGGAAGCGTAACATTGCAGATAACTAATTCGGAGGTCGCGCCTCTTAGATAACGTAAAAGTGTTGTCAAACTTTTCCACCCGTTTTTACACGACTTACCGATCTACGGGCGTCTGTGGTGTAGCGGTTAGGGGCTTAGCCGTCGCACGTAGGAAACCCAGGTTCGATTCCAGTGTGTTTGTGGTTAAGGGGGGGGGGGGGGGGTGGT